CTAGGGTGAAACGCCAGGCGCGGCCTACGGACGCGCCTGCTCATGCGACAAAAGGGGCTCTCATTTACAAGGAAGCGGGGTGGAGGGAGGCTCGAGGAGGAGGAGTGCGTGGTCGTCGGGACGTCCAGGAGACGATGATTGCACAGTTGGGGGCCATAGGCAGATCTGCCGTGCAATAGCAAGGGTACCCCTTCGTCCTCTCAGCCGCTTCTGGTTCCCCCTGCTCTGCCCCTTTTTGGGCAAAGGCGCCTGCAGCAGTTGTCCTCCGGAGATCATTGTGCCCTCGCGGGTGCCCTCAGTCATGGGCCATGGTTGTAAATTACAGCTTGCACGAGGGTTAAGAACAGCTCAGGCCTTGGAGGGTTACCCATCTGTTCTTTCCGACGCAGCCGGCAGTGGAGCAGCTGCAGGTCTTGAAATTGTTTGGGGGAAGAGCCGGCTGCGCTGGTCGATCAGCGCCACGAGGGAAGACCTCGGCGACCGAAGGTGGGGACCAGTCCATCCCGGCAATACGAGAGTATCGCAGCGTAGCGCATGCTATACCATGTTCACTTCAGGTATCTGTGGCCTTGAGGCTATAATTTTCAGATAGGTACTGGTCCAAGAGTAGTGGGTGGTATGGCCGCACGTCTCCGTATCCTGCCCCCCCCCTTCGTGTGTCGTGGCAAACCGAACCAGTATAATCCATTGCCGTATTCTCGCAATGGTGTAGGCCATCGGAAGCCAGGATTTGATTGCCGCACTTTTTGTGATTTCCGTTGTGGTCCACCCCAGTCTGCTCGTGAGGCCGTCGGTCGTCATTTGCAGGACACTCCCAGTATTGGTGATCCAGTGTTGGTGCATATTGCCCGCCACAATGTTCGCAGGTGGTTGGCACGCCTTCTCCTTTGCGGGACTACAGAAGCGCATCTGGCACCATGCATCCACACAGAACATCGGTCATGTGGGAGGCCAGGTCTGGGGTGCTGCGTAGAGCATCTGGAGCGACGCGCAGGGCGACCGCCGGTAGTGGGATTCCCGCCGCCAGGGGACTCCCGGCGAGTGCGGCTCTGGAGAGCAGATCTTTCAATAGACCGTAGGATTAGGCGAAGCTCGTGTAATTGCTTGCCCATCCCGTCGGTCAGGCGGACGGTCCCTTCAGGTCCTTTCCATTCCCCGTTGTCGTGCGGCCGGGCACCGATGGTGGCCATGTGGGCTTTATATTCATAGATCGGTCCCGTCGCTTGCGCACGTGAGACGACGCGCTCCCAGAAGTCGAGGGTGTCTCGCCCCTGGCGGCGTAATCGGTATCGGAGAAACTGTAGTAAGCGCCGGCAGAGGTGGTAGCGCACGTTCGCCTGGTGCCTCATTAGAGGCATCCGGAGTAGTCCTGGGACTGCAACCCTCCACCGTCTGAGTGATATTGCCCTCCCGGCAAGATGCTGGTGGGTGTCGATCATGGTCTTCGTAGGCGGTGTGAGGAGCAACGCCCAAGTCGACTCAGGTAGTGCCATCGTAGCCGCAAGCCGCCGTAGTCGTAGTGAGAGTGGGGGAGAGGCTATGCGCTTGAGTCGTGCACATCCTTCCTCAAACTTCTTGTGTTCTCTATTGGTAAGCCGGGCCCTATGGAGGTTGAGGTCCAGACCCAAGATCTTCGTGCTCATTCCCGAAAGTTGATCCTTCGCACAACGATCAGGACATATTACAAAACTTTAAGTCTCGGTGTGGTTGGTCCGCAGAGCCGTCACGCTATCCAAAGGATCCCACTTCTCGCTTTGTGCGTTGCACGTCCTCCGCCGAGCTGGTCATTGCCGTCTGGACGTCCGTGCACGTTCAGCACGTGGCTATTGGAGCCATAGGCCAAATTCTTCGGAGTGGTCCCACTAGCATGGTGGCCATCCCCAACACGGCGACAAGGTCACCTCGTGGAAGGCTGTCAGAGACAAGAGTGGATATGTTGAAGAGGAGCGGGCCGAGCTCAACCCAGCCTTCTGGATGTTCCCATACGAAAGCATTGCTATTGGTGACCACATCCGGGATGCCCAAGTGCCGCCAAACGGCACCCACCAGGCGCGGCGGTACCTGGTCGAACGCCGACTCGTAATCCCAGGACTTGACGCGTAGTTCACCCCGGCACTGTCGTAGGAGAGCCCGTTGTTCCGGCCTAGCTTCCATCGTGTCGCCCAGCCTGCTCGCCGTGATCGTTTCTTCGACCCGGGAGAGGCATGGTTCAAGCAATTGTTCCGAGGTGCACTTTCATTCCCCCACCCTGTGTGTCGGGAAATGCGGGTTGGAGGTTATTCGGTGAGCTGTGCTGTGCCGCCCCCCACCTGTGCAAGGCCCTGGCAATAGCACTTGCGATCGCTATAGGCCGGAGCCTTGTTAGCGCTGGTATGGTCGCGTCTTTGGGTATGTGTATCTGTCTCCGTTGGAGAAGTTGGGGCGGCCAACCGTGTTGCTCCGCCTCCTGGCATATGTTGATCAGCTCCACCAGCGCTTCATCTGGCAGGAGCATCAGTTCTTCAGGGCACCAATGGTCGGAACCGTGGGCCTTACCGACATGAAACACCCTTCGGAACTCCGCCGCCACATGTGGTCTCCAGGGATCCTGGGCCCCAGCCGTAGCGAAAATGTGTCGAGCGTGGTGGTGTTGTTCGTCTCGGACCTCTTGGATATCGGCACGGGCTCGGTCGAGATACTCCCGGTAGGGGGCGAGATTCCCCTGCAGATTGTTCCCCAGACTGCAATCATGAAAATGTTGGTTGTAGTAGTCCCTGACGCGGTTCACCGCAGTAATTCGTGGCCGTTTTTTTTTTTTTTTTTTTTTTTTTTTTTTTTTTTTTTTTTTTTTTTTTTTTTTTTATCGTTGGATCTTCCTCGTTGGATCTTCCTCGTAAAATCGTCTGGGGGAAGAGCCGGCTGCGCTGGTCGAACAACGCCACGAGGGAAGCCCTCGACGACCGACTATGGGGACCGGTCCATCCCGGCAATACGATAGCATCGCAACGCAACCAGCCTCGTGACTTGCACCAGCTGCTCCTCGCGGGGAGCTCGCAGGGCGTCACAGTCGTCCAGGCTGCCCCTTGAGGCCCGATCTGTCCTTCCAGAACCAGTGGGCCCGACGTATATCCACTGCCTCCTGGGGCGCTGGGACATGGGTTCCCGACGTTGTGGATCTGTAGAAGTCGTGGCTTTTCAGCCGTGGCCAAATAGTCGTTGGCGAATCCCGATCTCGGTGGACACAACAGCTCACGGCAGGCAGCCATCATGAGCTCCGTGCCCTGGATGCCAGTGTTCTTCCGTGGAGCTGCCGCCGAACGGGCCGTCGCGGGAAGCAGCCAGGGCTGAGAATTCTGGATTCCTGACGAAGAACCCCGGTCGGACCCCGCCCCCGATCGCCGATGCGGTGGAGGCGTTGGCTTGCTGTGTTTGCTTTACGAGCCCCTCTTTGCGTCTCCCCAGGTATTGCGCCGCTTTCCGTCCCGCCAGCTCTGGCAGGGTCCAGAGGCAGAGGACGTGGACGTGGACGTGGAATTGTCGGATCCTTGACCCATGGCGGCACGGAGTCATCAGGGTGTGGGGCCGTTCTGAAATGTTGCCTCTGGATGTCTGCTTCTGGTGTCCAGGCCACCTTTTGATCGATGCCCCCGATGCCTCAGGAACCTTGGCTTTCCAAGCATACCTTATCTCCGTAGACCGACATGAGCTGCCGCTGATATCCGCCACCGCGATTGTCAAGACTGCGCGGCAACCCCGTGACGTGCGACGGATGTGGTGTTGCATGGCTATATTTCAGTCAGGCCTGTCCCTCTACAGAGGGAGTATTCAACAATAGTCAAACAAATAGTCAGGGGATTATTTGTTGTCTATTTTCGTAGATATTGGGAATAGTTTTTGACTCTTTTTTATATTATTAAAAAAAAAATCGCCCGAAATCACCCGGTAGGGGGGCAGGCCCGACCTAAGGCTATCCGTTGCCTCGAGGAGGGCTCCGCAGGGCCTCTCTTGGGAGGCATTCTCGGGAGACGTCGCCGAAGGGGCCTTTGTGGGCCCCTCGGGGTCTTCTGGATCGCAGGGGGGAGCATTGGACCGTCCTGGGGCAGTCTGGTGGCGGTCCACGGCCGAGAAAAGCGACACCATTTGGCGGGGTTGCACGTTTCAAAGCGTGGAGATCGGAGGCGGATAGACCTCCTACCCTGACACGTGGATTAAGGAATCGGCCGTTTTCGGTTCGCGAGAGGGCGTCGCGGCCGTCACTTTTGCGGGTCCAGGTGCGTCGGTTTCGGCCCCAGGCTGTTTTTGTGTACTGATTTCGATGGTATCATTAGTTTTTCTCATGAAGAGGAGTTTTGCTAAAGGGAGGCTTGTCCACCGCCGAGGAGACGTGGTGCTCAGGGTGAGTCTTTGTGGACTCGGCCGCAATCCAGGGCCTGCTCTGCCGCTGCCACCAGCCTCCACCAGGCAGCTCGCCCTGCGCCCCCCTGGCGCAAGAGCAGCAGCAGTCGCGGAGTACACCGGAGTTGTTGGTGGAGTCTCCCCGGTGGCGGGCCGAACTACAAGCCAGATCTTGAGCGTCTCGTGGCTTCTTGGCCGATGTCGCCATCGCAGCGTGTTATCTGCAGCCTTCTCCCTGCCGAAGCTGAATCACACGTTGTATGGATGCTGGATGGCGTCCGCTGAATCGCCGCCGCAGCTGCTCCCAAGTTCGCATTGCTTGGATGCCCCAGAATGGGTTTGCGAGCCATGCATACAGATGCGTGTGTACATTGATTCGAGTGCGCGGGGGGGAGGGCAAAGAGAGAGAGAGGGAGAGGGTGAGAGAGAGAGAGTGCGAGAAAGAGGGATTGAAGGAGAGAGGGGCGGAGATAGGGCTTTGATGCTTCAGAGAAGCCGAGCAGTGCACATAGCAAGAAGGCACACCGAGCGTGAGCGCTCGCCGACCGTCGATGGGGACGGTTGGGTGACGCCCAGGGTTGGATCATGGTGTCGTCGTGTCCTGATGCCCGCGTGCCTGCGTGCAGGCACGAGCGCAAAGTTACGGCGGCGTGGGTGCGCGTGGTCATGGCTACCCAGGAAGGCAATGCAGCCGGCATCAGGCTCCGCGGCTGCCCGTGGCATGGCAGACCGCAGGAAGGGCAGCGAGAGACCGGCATGGAGCGCGGAGGGAGACCGCAGAGACCAGCGAAAAGGGAGGCCAGACGCGAGGAAGGGAAGCATCGAGCACGAATGGCACCCGCTCCCGGGCTCCAGGTGCGCCTCAAGGTGCGGACAACCGCAGAAGGGAGCGGCTTGTTTGCACGTCAGCCTCTCGTGACATGGGCGTTCTATGAAGCGACGTTCATGTTTTCAGAGCATCGCGGCTGGGCATTGTGCCGCTGCCTCATGTACCATTCGTCTCGGGGTCACCAATGGAGCGTTGCAGTGCCGACACCTGACCCCTGCCCATTTAGGAAATGCCCACTCGCTGGCGAAAGGGTGGATGTTGGACCGTCGGGTCGTTGACAGCCGCCGTAATCCTGAGAGCCCATGCAAGTCTTGCGGGCCCTGATGGAAGGACTTGTTCTGTCCAAGCAGACGTGCGATGGATTCGGCGTGACGGCGTGGTCGGCCTGCGTTAATTGCGGCAGCCAGCGTGATTAGGATTGTGATGAGATCACGGGTTTGGAAGATTTGGTCGGGGAGATTGGCATATCACCAATGGGATGACGGACGTTATTGATGAACGATGAAGCTTAGATGGTGGGAGCTACAAGAGTCGACCCAGGAGGTTGGGACGGCAATGCGTCTCACCTTTGGGTGTACCCGCTGTTGCGTGTAACGATTTCGGCTGCTTGCAGTCACGACGTCCTCGTCGCCAGCGCAAGCATACCCACCTCGCACATGAGGCCACTATCGCTGCGTTTGTGATTTGTTATTGCTTGCAGTGGCCCTCAAGGTTTTTCCTCACGTCGTCCAAGAAGTTGTCCCGGCAAGACCGCGTAGCAGTTGGCCTCAAGGATGTACAGCAGTTCTTGGAAGCATCGAAGGAGATAATCATGTTTGTATCTTCTGTTGGTTGCTAAAGTTGACGTTCAGTCACGCATTCCCTTCCTTCACTTCCTAGCTTATTCAATTGCCAACGCACTCGTCCACAAACGCTCGCACATCCACCCCCCGTTCACTTTTCGAACATATCACTCAGTACTGGGCTCTCTCTCTTACCTTCTGTCCCTCTATCTTTCAGAATGCCAGTATATTTGTTGACTACAAAAGCCGCACCCCCCCCAACATCAAACGTACACGTCAAATGACGTTCACCAACACAAGCATGCGTTGACAGGTCGGTCCCACTCGGCGCTCCTCCCGTCTCCCTCCTTCCCCTCCCCATCCCTCGTCTCCGTCGCTCCATCTATCGATGCACCATTCTCCCATTGCAAAGCGTCTGCAGTTCCCGCCTTCTCGTGCGCCTGCTTGCCCCTTTCGAAGTCTTCGGGGGCTGGTGCCGCCTCAGGTCACATGTGCCCGGCTGGAGCTTCCCTTTGCAGGTTTTCTCTTCCGGCCTTGGAGAGGGTTGCACAGGCCAACGCGAGGCCCGTTGGTTTTCGGAGAGACAGCCTGAACAAGCCCTCTTGAATGGAACTCTTATGTATGTGAGCAGCTCGTAGTGCGTAGCCCGCCCCCTGTTTCGGAAACGTCAATGATGCAGCGAACGTAGTTCTACTGACTTGGCCCAGTTAGTCGCCCTTAAATGCTAATTTAGTAGGACCCTGGTAGGGTAAGAGGCGGTGGCAAGGTAATGGTAGGGTGCTGGTGTGACGTGTTAGTCGCAATCAGAACACATCCTGGAAGTATTCTGGTGCGGTACTAATGCCATGCTCGGGCTGTCAGACGGCTCTGGCAGGGCTCTGGAACGACGCCGGCTGGGCTTTTGTGGGATTCTGGTGCGACTCCCTAGCGAGGTTCTTGGAGGATGAGCGCGTCTTGGTTGGGCTCCAGGACAGCTCTGGTGGAGCACCGCCTGGGGTCCTGGGACGGCACCAGCTGTGATCACGGGCGATTTTTGGACGGTGCGCGAGCGTTCTCGGGGGACTGGGCGGATCCCGGCACTGCCCTGTGCCCCACCCAAACAGTAGAAACATGTTCTTTTTTACATTTTGGGTCATAGCCTTCTTTGCAGCCCTATTGTTCAGGTAGCGCTCTTACGCAAGCATGGCACCAGAGGCCGTCCAAGTATTCCTGGGCCTAGCCGAGCGCAGGGCAATTAGGTATTGCAAAGCAACGTGGCGAGTCCATGATAAGCAGTATTGGGGCTCTTGGGGGCTAGTTAGGTATTCGGCATTGTCATAGCAAGGCGCTTTGCGGGAGTGAGTGCAAACTGCGTGTTGGAAACGATACCGTGCTCCCTGCGCAATTACTGCAATGCTTTCCGTGGGAGTCGATGCATTATTCCCCGAGGGAGCTTGTCCAAGACTCTCTGCGGGAGTCAATACAAGGAGTCCATGTAATACTCCCTGCTGGAGGCAATACAGCATGGCCATGACCTTGGGGCTAGTCACAGCTGGTCTGACAACGGCATAGCTAGCATTGAAGGGGAGTGGGAATGCGAGTAGGGGCTCCTGCTACCTGTCACGTCCGCACGGGCGCGGCCAAGGGAGAAAGCTGCCCTCCAAGGCCCCACAGGCACCAATGTTGAATTGCGGTGGAGCTACTGAGACGTGAGGCACCCAGAAGCAATACACTCGTTGTTTCTTGTCTTGCCCCTTCATTGTCTCGCTTCTTCTCGCCTTGTCCTGCTGTCTTGTCTTGTCTTGGCTTCTCAGCGGGTCGCGCCGCAGGAGACAGGGGACCCAGAGAAGTTCGAAAGGGCTGTGAACGACGGAATCTTCCTGGCCGCGCGCTCAGTGCGGACCCGTGCTGCAATTGGCCCTTTCTGCTATCCCTTCGGTCGTTGGACGAACGCAGGCGGAGCCCCCACAACGTAGCACTGAGCGGTTTCGTTGTGAATGCCCAGTCGTTTGTCATCTTGGTAGCGCCTCGTTTCGTCCAAATCCTGCTCAGGCCTTGCCCACATAAGCTAGGCATATTCTTCAGACGCGTTGCAGAACGTACGTGGGCGATGCACCACCTTGGTTTGCGATCGCCTACACTACGATCCAGGATCCCAGTAACTCCACAGCAGATAATGTCTTTCGGAACGTGCTCCTGCCGGCTTTGAGCCGCACGTGCCCACCCCCCGCCCCCTGCTGCCTGCGCCTGTGGCCGAGGCCATGCACATCTATGCCCTGGAGGCCAACGCACAGCTTGGGCCGAACATGTGGTCGGCAGCCCTGATGGAGGAGACCGAGCGCGCGATGAATGCATGGTGCAGTTCGGGGAAGGGGAGGGCCAGACTGGCGGAGAGGCGGCGGCGGAGGCGAAGAGGAGGGAGAAGGGAGGGAGGGGAGGGGAGGGGGAGGGGGGAGGAGGAGAAAGTCGGACATCACCACGCCCAGTCCGTCCTGCTAATGCCTTTCTGCGGGATCTTCAGCCGGCTTCATTGTGATGGGCGTCTTTCAGCGCACTCTGTTTGCGTTGAAGGACGCGCTTCAACATTTGCTACAGGCCTTCAACGCACATCAGGAAGCCGTTATCGATGACGGAGCTCCTTGGCATCGCTCGGACGTGTGCAGTTTTCCTTCGGCGAGGACCATCGAGGAGCATCCTTGACCATTTGGCGAAAAAACCACGCACGATACCGAAACAAACACAGGGAATGGACGTCCGAGCGATGGCCAGGCTCTGCCTGTACTGGGCTCTTCGGTGCGGGGTCCCCGCGCACAGCGTCGACTGGATCGAACTCTGGCCTGCAGCGTGTGCAAGTGTGAATGTCTGTCAGGTGCAGGGGGAAGGCTATACAACTGACATAACTTTTGACGCGTAGGATTCGGACACCGCTGTTTGTTCCTGCGGGATGGAAGACACCATCTGCAGCGTGGATGTGCCCACATGTTGCTCGTGCCCCGGAGACGAAAGACCCTATGGTGCTAGAACTCGCCCTCGCAACACTAAAGCCCACCTCGACGAGGTTGAAGTTAGCACTCCTGCGGCACTGCGTGACAGACATCAAAGGGAAGGCTTGTGCTGATACGCTGACCATCCATTTTGCACAGACGAATCACGCGCACGATCCTGACCGTTCGTCTTATCACTGGGGCCTTGAGCTTTACAAGAGTATGACCGAAGCCATGCTGCATGTACTTGAATTCTGGCCAGCCTTGAACGACCTCCTCGGGAAATTGGAACGCGTGCCTACGAGCCCGTGTGAATGACCCCCCTTCCTGTCCTTTCCTCTACTGTGCCCGCTGCCCCATTTCGGCTCACAGGTATTCGCAGGCATGCGCTGACTTTTGGACACCAGTGAAGGGTAAAGCCTTCACCGTAGCCCTCCACTCATCGTTGCCGCCGCTACCGACAGATGTTCGGGAAGGGGTCGGCCCCTCGGTCATTCGGCCAATCCTTCCCCCACGCGGACAATCGGCGCCTTATTCGCTACCCTCGCGCGGCGGGGCGCCAGCTCTGCCCAGGCGACGACCACCCCGCCTCGTGCAGGTGTGCCGCCTTCTGCGGCGGAACGGTGGCGATGCCCCTGCATCGCGGACGTTCGCACGCAGCCTTGAGGGTGTTGGGGCACTCTGGCAGAGCGAATGCCGCCATATAGCACAGAGCTGCCCAGACACTTCCGACATGTCTGAGGATTTGGCCGGTCTGGCCCCCACCCACTCCTCCTCCTCCTCCTCCTCCTCCTCCTCCTCCTCCCCCTCCTCCTCCTCCTCCTCCTCCTCCTCCTCCTCCCTCCTCCTCCTCCTCCACCTACGATGCTTTCGGCGATCCGAGCTTGCACGCCACCCCCCCACAGTAGGAACCGCTGACCATGGAGCTCTCGGCAGCGCCTGCGGGGGGCAACCCTTGCAGGCGGCAGCTTCGGTGGACTGGGTCATTCACAGGGTGCTCGCCGATGGTGGAGAAGAGCTTCTGCAATCGCTGGCGCCCGTGGACCTCGCAACACACAGGGCGTTCATCCCCCAGGAGTTCCCGACTTCACGGTTCAAAGCATGCGGGGGGGAACCCTTGCAAGCGGTCTATATTTGGCCTGTGGTGCACCCACGGGACTTCCTGTCCCCAGGTGTCCCGTCTACGTTGGGCCCTCGTGGTTTCCTTGAGTGGACGCGCGACGTCTTCGCTTCCGAACGCGTGAATCGCCCACGTCGCGTGGTTGAGCGGGCTCGTACAATGGATTCCTGGCGCATTGTTTCCGAGGGTGGCTCAGTCCACACTCGCGCGACCTCCGTCTCTCGACATCGCCCCGCCAGCCTCGCGTTCCATTACCGTGGATTCTGGCAGATCGATCGCCGCGACATGGCCGCACATCACGCTCATGGCCGCAGCCGCCCCCAGGGAGGCCGCACAACGGGCGCCCCAACACCCTCGTCAGTTTCCTCCTCCTCCTCCTCTCTCCTCCTCCTCCTCCTCCTCCTCCTCCTCCTCCTCCTCCTCCTCCTCCTCCTCCTCCTCCTCCCCCCCCCCCCGCCTCCTCCTCCTCCTCCTTCTCCTCCTCCTCCTCGTCCTCCTCCTCCTCCTTCTCCTCCTCGTCAGGTGCCACAACGACATCGGGGGTGCACAGGACCCCCAACAGGGACACGTCGATTCGTGAATTGTCCTTTGTCGGTTCTCGAGAGGGCGCCGTGGCCGTTATTTTCCAGGCTTTCGCCCGTCAGGTTTGGGCCTCGGGTCGTTGCCACGAAACCACGTTTTACTAAAGGGGGGTCTGTCCATCCCCGACAACACGTGGCCGAGCTGAGAAACCAGGTTGGGACTTCTGCTGCACAACATTCTCCGCCGTGCAACGATCCGTCGCCGCCGCCGTTTCCGATGCGGCCGTCTTGCGATCGGAGTTTGTCAACATGTTCCGGGAGATTGACGAAACTGCCCCACTCGGCCACGATCGTGTCGACATTACCTCCGTCAAGTCCGACCTCCAGCGCCTCGAGGTTAACCTTTAGCGGTCAGTGGTCAGAGCGATTCGTGAGCACGATTTTTACACGGCGAGGTACAGGCGTTCGCGCTGGCCACATTCGGCACAGCACCTGGCGCCATCCAAGGACACCTACAAGAGCTTCGCGACACGGTTGCTTCCCAAGCTGCCGTCGTACGCTCCGAGACCAGTGACGTCCAAACTGGACTTTTGCAGCATGCGTCGCCTAGTCAAGACCTTTGTCAACCGACGCTTCAACGACTCCCACGCCGCAGCCATTCCTGAGTTATCCGCCAGAGTCTTTGCATTCAAAAAGACCGTGACTGATCTGCATGTTGTAGGGACTCAGACTGATCAGTTGGGCACCGCCTCGGCATCTGAGGTTCAGGCCCTGCGGGCGACGGCGGACCGCGTGTACAAGCAGTGTCGCGAAGCCCAAACAACGAGAGAGAGAGAGAGAGATGCCTTGACGGCACGGGGTTCTGGGGCTCAGACCCGCCTTGCGACGCGGTCGAGTGATTTCCGCGATTTACAAACCGCGATTCCTGATCTTTCTTTTGAAATGGAACGACAGCACCCTCGCGCGACTGAGCGAGCCACCGAGAACTGCGCGGAAGGCAACGGACTCCTGGGGCGCGTGGACCCACGACAGCAGGATCACGCCAGCATCGACGACAAGTCGTCTGCGCGCGTGGCAGGCGCGATGCAGCGCCATCAGCCTCAACCACCACAGAACCGGGGCACACAAGTCGGGCGGAGTCCGTCACGTTAGCCCTTATTCCGCGCACGGCACGCACAGCAGCACCGACAGGTGCAGCGGACGCGCCACCTCCGGACGGCGCGCACGAGACTGCGAGCTGCCGCGCCCGCCCGCCCGTTTGGCTCCGCAGCCGCAACTTCCCAGCTTA